GAAAGATACGTGCATTCGGTGTTGCCTCATGGTGGATCCTTTCGAATTCGGCGCCTCATCCAGCCCGACGGCGTGTGTCCGAGTTTGGTGGACAACGAAGACCACTATGACGAAGGCAGCGATGACGAGGAGAAGTCTGACGATGCGATGGACACCGAGGGTGAAAATGTTGTGGCAGAAGATTTGGACCCGGGCGAGGGAAGCGCGGCTGCACCTGTGGTCTGGGACATCGACGGGAAGAAGGGCATCGTCCATGTACCCCGACAACAACCTGTCGAGTTCAACTCGGATTCCGAAGTGGCCACTGCTGCAATCGGTGTCTACCTGCGGCCAACTATCAAGCATGACCTGTCAGTGGACGCGATCGTCAAGCCAGACGTTGTGGTGACAATTGCGGCCAAACATCCGTGCAAACAAAAGGATCTGAACGACGTATTGAACCTGCTTGGAAACCCTCCAGCACCACGACTCTTCTTCGTTGTCCCACCGAATGGATTTGCTGATTTCCAGTATCAACAGTACGTCACGCAAGAAGGCACGCCCACGACACATCTTTCCGCGAGCGTACGCAGCATACACCAATATGTCATGCAAGTCACGCCTTCCGTGCAAGCTGGGATGACGCAGCATCCGAGTTCCGACGAAGGTACAAAAAAGCGACTTCGTGACGAGTAAAGTCCTCACGAGAGCATGCAATCAAGGAATGATGTAACGAGATGCCGCGCACTTTGATTAAGATGTGCAATAAGCGATGTCATGACAATTCAATCGTTTTTACTCGCCGATAATTTTCGCTGTAATCGATGGCGTGTGGTTTTCTACGATGCGAACGGTAGAACCCCGGCGCATGTCCTCGCTGTGTGTTCAAAAGTTGTTCATGATGACCAGTGAATTGTGCAATTCGGTCCCGTCTATAGCAGATGTAACTTCGATTTGTACTTTTCAAACGTGCAAAAGCAGGGGTGTGCAAGTAGCAAATGATAAAGGTGGTTCCAAGTATTGTCGATTTGATACAAATTTTGGGTGGGGGCGCTATCGTTGATTCGGTTTGAACGAGTCTGATTGGCTCAATTTACGAAAGCTCAGTGTGATTGGCTAAAGACTTTGACAGCCCTATACTATATAGAACGTCCATTTTGCGCGCCATTCTTCAACCAGCATTCGACGAGCCATGACTGCAGACGACAGTCCAGCCTGGAACACTCGCAAGGTGACCACGGACAGTTTGCGCGAAAAGCACCCGATTGCATCGTATTTGGTGATCCAGTTCTTGCCCGCTGCTCTTTCCGTACACAGCAGTAAGCTGTCGACGCTTCATCCCCAGGAAGAAGTAGCCGTGCAGACAGTGCATGACCGTGTATGCTGTGAGATTGCCGACTCGATGGTGCTCATCGTCGTCTTGCCGCTTGGTGTGCGATCTGCTTTGTCCTGGAAATGTCTTTCTGTCGTTTGACCCAATCAAATCGTGGCAATTTTGAAAGCGCCAATCGAATCGATTTACGAACGACGTGTGGTTTTTTAAGAATTCACGTCAAAATCCAAAATTTTGCTCGAAAGCACAATACAGTTTCCTACTTTTTTACCTTTTTTTCTGCGATTTTTACTCAACTCACACCCAAAAGTAGAAAAAGAGGATCGTGAAAAAGAAAAGAGGTAGTCGATTTTGATTGGCTCATACTATTTCTGAAGCCTAGTTTTGAACTTCCAAGTATTTTTTAGTTTTGACTGTGAACTTCAAGTAGTTTTCAGAAATAGCATGAGCCAATCAAAATCGATTCACCTCTATCTTTTCACGATTTACAGTTAGAAAAAGACGTATTAATATAACGTTAGTGATTTGCGTAAAAAATCGCAGAAAAAGAGGCACACGACACAATACATCGGGCAGATAGCCAATTATTTGGGCACACTGCTAATTATATCGGGCACAACACCAAATATATCGGACGCACGGCCAAAAACTTGGGGCATTCGACCAACTTAACTGCAAAATGGTGTAACTGGGAGATGCGGGAACAGGACACGAACACATCACTATGAAGAATTCAAGGTCCTTGATTCCTTCAAATCGTGGTGTACCATTGTCGAGGGGATATATGCATCTTTATTCAAGTTGTCGCGTGCGAGTCAACCAGGAACTGAATCTGCCACTTCCACGGAATCAAACGACGTGTACTGTACATGCGTGCGACAGTTACATATTATTATTCGCTTGAACATTTTTATTTTGATATTTGTATTAAGTATGCGTATTTTTATTCATCTCCATAATTATTTACGTTTTGCACAAACGATTTATACTTGCGCAGGCGTACATGCGGGAAAGGCGCGATGCAGGTCAGCGATTTCTCAATGCATATTGCACAACGGGTCACGAAACTCTCCATTCCTCATAACAACAACCAATACTATCAAGAACACATTATTGCATGTCGCCTGCATCAACAGCTGTAGAGAAATACAACTTCGAACTTGGCAAATTCGTCGTATTTCAAGAACAAGCGTGTACATGCGGGTAAGATGACTCATGCCAGAGTGAGCTGTGTATGTGCAGACCATGCTGCATAGGCTGAGCTAGTAATGGATTATCTTGTAGTACGAGTAGTATTGCTCTAAGTATTACACAGCTCGAGAAAAGCGTCCTCAAAGTTCGTCCATTTTCGATATATGCGCATGTCGACATGTCGTCAGTACCACAAAAACATGCAAATGCACAATAAAAATATTGCATCCGCAAAAGTGATGAATTATCCGGAACTGTTGTGTTTTCAATGAGGTAATATCTCCATCACAATGAATTTAGATTCTCACACATGCATTTTGGCGTTGGCACATAGAAATCGTCGTAGTCACAATAAACTGGTCGCTCTCACACAGAACCAAGTCGTTTTCACAAAGTACTGATCATTGTCACAACAAATTCGGCGTTGTCACAGCATTTTCGTCGTTGGCACACGACATTCAGCTTCGTCACAAATGCATCACGTTTAATAGAGTCTCGACGGTAGGGATATTTCCTGTCCCAATGACAAGCCACGAAATGCTAAAAATAGATTAGCATATG